GCGCCCATTCCAACACAACCTAGAGCGCTTACTCGTACGTTTATTTATATTATGATAAATTAAATAATAACGCAGGTGCCACACCCTGCACAACTCGAAGCGCCTACTTAGACCTTTATTTATTTATAACAAATAAAAATACAAGACAAGCGCCAATCCCCAAACAACCTGAAGCGTTAACTGGGATCTTCAATTGTTTAAAATCAATAGAACAGCACAAGCATAAATCCCCACACAACCCGAGGCGCTTACTGGTCCCTTAATTTATTAAAAATTAAATTAAATGATACTTAAAAGATGCCTAAATTCCAAAGCCATTGGATTTGTCACAAACAAAACAAGGAATAATTTTCTATCGTGGATTTCAACGTATCTATTTTTCCAAGAGCTGCTTCGAATTTTTTATTCTTATAGTTATTAATTGTTATTTCTGTTGATTTTATTCCCATTTATTACATGTAGTTTTATTTACGATGACAAGAGCTATGCTTTTACCCGGTATTTTAAAACTCATGTGTTTTTACGTTCGTACTTTTATTTCCAAAAATTTAATTAAAAGTCACCTTGTAAATACCTTAACTCTAAAGCCACTGCTTTCGTAACGAATAAAAAAAGTAAAAAAGAATAAAGGAAAAAACGTAAATGTATTACTTTCTTCTTCACTAGATTTTCTAACTTAATAATTAAATTCATTATTTACAAACTTTGTGACATTTAATTACATTAATTTATGCAATCCGTAATCTGCAAGTGAGGAGGAATCGAATCGTACAGTCAGAATTAAATTTTAATCTTAATTAGTACTTAAAACTAAGGTTTCTATGTTTCAGTGCCACAACTTTTTTTTAAAACTTTTTATTCTGCAAATATCTTGCAAACTATTGATCCGCCAATGAAAATTCAAGTAAAAAATAAATCCGCAAGGAAGGAGGAATCGTTGAAGCCGCGAATGGTTGCAAATGATTAATATTCAATATTTACAGGCGCCAGCTTCACAAGTCTCTTATGCATAGAGAGTTTGTACGTGCATACACACACACATACACATGCTCCGGCTTTTTGCTATATAATTTATTGGTTCATAAATAAGTATATACCTATTTCTGTAGAAGCATGCGCTTGCTCTTTCTCTCTCTTTTTTTCTCGCGCTACTTCCGTGCCCCGCTTCCCGCTCTCCTCTCGCCACCAAGAACTGGATAGACACTTTTGAGCTTCAGCAGCCGGTTTTACTCACCACAAGATTTCAAATACATAAAAATTTCAAAATAAAATTTTCACTTTAAGAAACAAATTTATTTTTTTCAGTATCACCTGGCTCTGACACATTACCTACATTTTATGGAGATGTTATAGGAGAGAAAAGGACAGCAAATTCATAAATAAACATAATTTTTTCACATCTGTTGAAAATTCGTACAAGTACTATTTGCGACGGAGTCACAGCGTCAAGCACACACACGCAGGCGCTTATCTGAGGTAAATTACTAAGCTTTAGGTGTATGAGCCTGTGTGTGTGCTCGGCGCGCTAGAGTACACGCAAGATAGTACACATACTGAAATCCGATATCGATAATGGCGACATCGAGAATCTCGAAGTATCCACTGCATACATCGAAAATCTTGATGTAGCACCACTGTACTCCTTGATTCTAGATGTAAGAAAATTTTACATCCCAAATCCCGAAGTAAATATTTTGGATATGTGCTGATCGGATGCGCAGTTGATAGCATATGGGCTATACGGTCAACTGCGCACCCGATCAGCGCATATCCAAAATACTTACTTCGGGATTTGGGATGTAAAATTTTCTTACATCTAGAATCAAAAAGTACAGTGGTGCTACATCAAGATTCTCGATGTATGCAGTGGATACTTCGAGATTCTCGATGTCGCCACTATCGATATCGGATTTCAATATGTATACTATCTTGCGTGTAATTCCTGAGACATGCACGCGCACTCGTTGAGAGACGATGACATGAAATGACTATAGAATGAAAGGTGTGGTTTATTGGGCGTTGTTGGGTCTCTTACTCGTGACGGTGCGAACACTCTTGAGACACTGTAATGGACTAAAACGTAGAGACCAGGCTGGTGGAGGCACCACTACCGGTACGTTTTGCTGGTCAAGTTAAAATGCCAATATCAATCAAGGGTTGTTGGTAGGGATTTTCTAAGATATCGAGCAAGGAGAAATATTTTGCCTCGAACAGTTGAGTTGAGTTTCTTTTTTTGTGTGGCTCTGGATTTTCCATGGCTAAAGCAATTGAGAGATTCTGCACATCGTTGGAAGCATTGGATTTATTGTGGTTCACCCTTTGCTCAGGTTTTCCTCTGAGGGACTGGTTGACCACGAAGAGAGCTGCATGATCTTGGCTGGCTGAGTGTGATGTGAGAATAGTGGCTACGTGAATCGTGAGAAGACTGGGGCCTAAGCCGACACCCAGGACCAATAATTCCAAGGCGCAGGAAGGTTCTGAGGAAGTAGTGATTATGGTTCATTGATTATACAGTGGCTATAGTGTGTATTAGGTGCGCAAGATAGTGATGGCAACGCGTTTCCGTGCCTCTCACTCCAGCTTAATGGTTTCTTGGGGCTGACTGATAGGGGGTTACGGGAGACGTGGCACGAGTCACAAGTACCAAAAAAAAACTATCGTTAAGACTGAGCACACCTGTGTTAATTCAGTGGGATCACCAGTAGCAGTTGCTAAACTACCAAAACAGTAGGACACAATGGGCTCATCTGCTAAAATCACACTGCCGAAACGTATAGTTAGCAGCACGCCAGAAGTTCAGGGATTTCACAAGACTCTTTTAATAACTTAGTTATTTAACTACCAATATTAATTCATCTCAGTTAAAACTAACTAAAATAGTGTCTAATGCACAACAGCTACATAATACTTTTAATGTATAACATTTTTCACAGGATATATTATTTATGGACTCGTATTTTGTGACCTAAAAATACCAAGTTTTGCATCGTGTCCACATCGCAATTGGTTTGGCTTCCTAGTATTCTTCTGACAGTGCAGTGATCTGTATATCACGGCAGTGTGATTTGGGCAGACAAGCACAGCCAAAACAGCTTTGTGCCCTGCTATTTTGGCAGCGTAGCAACTGCTAGTGACATAACTACTAAATTAGCATAGCTAATTCGGTTAGTAGCTCCAAGGTTTGTGGGTAGTGGCTCGTTGGGGAAGTTATAGTGGCTCGTCGTCAGTGAGTCAGTGCTAGAGGAAAAATTAACATCTGTGCTGGGCACTTTGCGCTACGGTGCCAGTGCACGGCCGTCGTACCAGAGGGGCCAGAGCTGCATAGCTGTTTGTACCGTTATGCTCGGTATAGTTGTACGCGTGTACCAAAATAGTCAGATACAACGTTAAAAATTAAAATAAAAAGTTACAGTTTTTTTAGTATTACTGACGCTATTCATATAACCTTAGAGGACTGAAAATTACCTAAGATTGTTCTCTTACAAAGCACTACTAATTACAATAAATTTTGACCAAAGTCATTGTTTTGGCTAGGAAAAAAATTTATCATTTTGTATTGTCAGATAATAGGCTCAAACGCTGTTCCGGTGTACACGGCGATATGAATACAATAGACTTATACTGAGAATCTTTTTGTGTTAGATGTCTAAAACAAGTGAGAAATCATGAACGGTTAAATCTCTATCACTTTTTAATACATTATAAGTTGGAGGAGGAAAGCTCACTTATAGATCAAGTTCAGCAGGAAACAAAAGTGTCTCTCGTCTGTTAGCATATTACAAACAGATAAAACTTTGACCACTCATACTTTTTCTCTTATGTGGCGTTGACAGCCGACTCATCAGAATGCTTACAAGTTTATTAGTACGAGCCTATGGTGAATACTACAGCTTCTTTCGAGTTAATATTATAGTAATTGAAGAGTAATTTTAAGGTGATATAGATTAGCTGAATTTTGTTATAAATAAATATTTTATTTACTTCTTAGGATATAAATATCCAAAGTGGTTGGACTCAAGAAGACAGGATAAACTTCTAAATAGGATCCGACACTGATAACGTTGAAAATATTTTTTTTTTTTGAGGTGATGATTATGAATCTGACCAAAAAATGAGTGCACACAATTTTAAATATTTTTTTGGAGTACTGGAATACTAATAAATATAGTTTGTATCTCTGTTTTGCTGACATGTTACAGGCCCAGGGGCCACTTAGCTCTCCTACATACTCTGGTCATGGCTCTAATCTTCCACTCCTATAGATGCTGCCTCCCATCAACCCCACTAAAAATAATAATAGTTCCTATAAACGTAGGCCAAATTTACTGAAATTGAGCCCAAGGTAGTAAAACTATAGTGACTGATTGAGTGACGAGTCTTTTAATTGTATATTTCACATGACACTTTTTCTGACAAATTCAAGTTACATTGCTCATAAGTGCCCCGAGAGCAGAACCATTGAATACATGTATTTTCAAGTCCTTATAAGATTTAATTGATTTTAAATCACTTGTGGTCACTTGCGGTCATTTTGTTAGTCAGATACGTAACGAGTACCTCGAGAAACATAATTATACTAACTTTCAACGGAACTAGTGAAAGACCGTAAGTATTAGGAAGTATATTTAGCCACTAGAAGCCCAACTATTTTGGATATCAGTATCTCAAAAACTAAGCAAGATATGTATTCACAACCAATTCTATATTATTTAGCACCCTCAGTGAACTACCCTACAGCTACTATACCATTGGCTCGAAAGCAGCTGTAGCACACGCAAGTTCAAGTTCACTGGAACAGCGCTGTTTCTGGATAATGCGGTGTTAATATAATATTTTGGGAACGAAAAATCAAAAAGTAGGTGAATTTACATAACTATTTATGTATATGCTAGTGATGTCAAATACTCGATGAAAAAAAAGGAATTAAAATATCATGACAGATAAACAGATAAGTAAAATTTATAAATTACTTGGCATCGTAGACTTCGATGTCAGCCAGTGGCATTAATATATTTTTCGTGCCCATAACCCATTCAGATAGGTACTCAATCAGTTTATTTCGAAACTTAATCTCCTGCCTAAACCTCAGATAATCGCGGCGCTTGATCATTACTTCCACAAATTGGCACAGCTTTATCTTGATGATAATGCCCTGCGAAGTTTCGATGTATCGCACGTAGCGTACCGTCAGGAGCGTCGTGATTTCAATATTAATAATGTCCTGGCACTCGGATTGCTGTTCGCTTTTGTCAAGGATACATTTCATAATAAAGATTGCGTGTTCGATAAACTGCGTATTGGCATCCGACAACTGAACTTGATTCTGATCGTCAAAGAACTTACTGACGTACGTTTGGATCGATTTGAAGAGAACTGGATAAAGAGAGAAACTCATTTGGAATTCTATGAATTCAGGTATGTGCCTGTTTATCTGTGAAAGATGCGAATAAGAAAATTGATCGTGATGGACTTAGAGGATGAAGCTAAAAGATACTTACCTGCTCGTTGCTCTTCTCAGTGTTCATAAGCTGCTGTAGCAATTTGGATATAAATTCTTTGACATACTGGTACTGTTGCGTATGAAGACTGCTTTTTAAGAGGTAAATGCCACCAAGGGCACACAAAAAGCCTGTCATATGGGCCCACTCATTGATACGGTCTTCGACCTCATTTTCTAAGCTTTGCTGAGAGGTGCGTCGCTTTGCTGCACTGCGCGTCATTTCGGTCTGTCCATCCTCTCCAATTTTATCTATGGCTTCTAGCCAGTATTTAAATGTCTGTTCCCAAGCCTGATGGTAGTTGTTATCAAAAAAATGTACTTAAAAATTAAAAAACTTTATTTGAAAAAAGGTTACTCATGAAAATTATAGCCTTACTTGTTGTAAACAAGAGCTACAGTGCTCTATTTTTCCAAGCAAAGACAATATTCGGTCCTGTAAGTCCTTCTGGCCTAGAGGAAATAAAATTAAGATGAGAGCATTAGTTATCTGTCGTCCAAAAGTATTGGGTTATTATATTTTACTTTGTCAAATCATAGTGTCATGTAGTTCACTAAGTTACAATGACAAGTATTTTTATCGCCCACGTTGCTTCCTCATAGATAAAGCTTTATGATGAATGAATAATATAAAAAAATTAACATGGTACAATTAAAACTTTATAAGATCATTCTTGTTTTAAAATATCAAAGATGTTCAATGCAGTGTAAAAATAAGTAATGACATATAAACAGATACGCTTTACAAAATTTTATTTCCATGTACTACATACAATGAGGCAGCATTTACGTAATTTCATCGAAACATAATTTGAATTGTACGTATTTTTTGTTTACCTAACAATTAATTATATTATTTTTTAGGGCTTAGGAAAATAAAAATTCAAAACGTTTTTAAAAAAGTTTATAGTAATAGCATAGCCTGTTATCAGAGGGTTGGCGCTTGTGGCTCGGCGGAGCTCCACTAGTATACATACATACACACATACATACATGTATATCCCTATATTACACGCGTGCACACACACACACACACACATACACACGTGCAAGGACATCTTTTGGCCACCCTTATTCCCCTTCACCCCCTCAATCAAGAGATGAATTAATTGTAGTTTTTCGACCCACCACAACCGTGTGCGGGGATGGCTCGATTGCGAGCCATCTGTTGTGGCTATAAGACCTCGATTTACACACGTTTCTAGTAGCGTGCACAGAAAATTGGTGGTGTGCGCGGAAATTTTCAGCCATCGGTATAACAGTCTGTATAGGTCTGTGAAACAGTTGCAAATATGTGTCCACATAGTATACGTGTGAATCGCTTACTCGTCTTATACTTGACTTATAATCTTTAGTACTCCCTGTTTTCAACACTTTCCGAAGTGTGCGGAGTACAGTAGTTACCTGAAATAATGTACTAATAGCTAACGTGAGCGATCGAGGTTTCAAGTCGAGAAGCGTAAAGGGAAGCAGACATACGTATCACAATTAGCAAGCGAGCGTGTCACAGGTCGTCCCAACGTGAACAAAATTGGTTTTTTTTGAGCCAACATGGAAAGGGGAAACTTCAAATAAACTAACAAATTGTATAATCAAACGATAATAATGAGTCTCCATTTTCATATTTATTGATTTGGTAGAGCCTCGCGACACTCTTCTTGTAAAGTAATAGACGCTACATGTGCGCAGGAAAATGCAATTGACACACTAGTATTCTAATGTAATATTCAGTGTTTTGTCTCATCGTCATTTGTTTGTCAGACTTCTTCGCATCCCCCCCCCCAAGCATTCCTTCACTACCCCTTAAAAATTCGATCAATTTCTCCTGTATCTTACGTAAAAAGATATTTTTCAAACATTTCAGTGCCCCCCGACCTTATAATTTCTGTTACCCCACCTCAGCTACCCTCAACCTTCCTTAGAGACAAAGTTTTTTCAGGTTTTGATCAGTCCCCTTTAACAACTTGTATTTTTTGCGTTTAACCTAGCCCCCCCCCCAAACCGAACCCCTCCAGGACTTCAAAATTTTTGAGGTTTTGATAAGACCCTCTCAACAACTTATATTTTTTTGCATTTTACCTAACCTACCCTAAGGGACTAAGATAGCCTCTATTTTTTTATTCGCTTTGCAAAAACTTGCAGCTTTTAATAATTTTACATACAATAATTTATTTTTATTAGTATGTGATGTTGCACCACTTATATTTCAATCAAAGTTTTTCTAAATTTTTTGATGCTTATTTTAATATCGGTAATCATCTTTGACAATGAATGTAACTATACTGTATGTGTAAGATACCACATGCGATTGCTTACAATTAATTAAATAATTATTTCATTGAATCTATGAACTCGAGATTTCATTAGATTTATTTTAAGTGCGTATGTCATTTAATAAAATGTTATGTAGCGATTATGAGTACACTGCCGACTGGCGTGTCCAGGAATTTACGAGTTTAGACGTTGAGCAACACAAGGGGAGCTGCGGGTAGATATTAGTGTGCTGTCTTGGGGACATTAACTGGTGTATCCAAGAGTATCATAGAGCAGTGCTAGGTAGCACAAGGGGCGCTGCAGGTGGATACGAACAACAACGACTGGTATGTCCAGAGGTGTCCAAGTAAATGTAGTATATGGATAATATAGGGAGCGCTGCAGGTAAATATAAGTGCGTTGTCGCAATGATGTTAACTGGTGTGTGCAGGAGTGTCCGACTGTAGTAGCTGGGTAAAACGGGGGCGTTGCGTACTGATATGTGTGTGCTACCTTGGAGACATCAGCTAAGTTATAAGCTATTGACTTTAGCTATTTAAAAAATTTCAAAATAAAATTTTTAAGAAAATCTTTACAACTATTGAAGTTTCGAAAAATCATACATTTTATAGGTAACAGGCACTATGGAAGAAAAGCATGACTCAGGTTTTTCCATTGAAAATAATGTTTAAAATTATAAGTTACGCTACTCTTCGTCAGAGGTACCGTTATGTATCGAAGTTGTTGTAATATAATGTAACAAGTATTTTGTTTGTTATATCATCATCTCAGTTACACATATATAAGTAAGTCTCATGCATATAGTTAGAATAATTTTAATTATATCGAGTTTAACTATTGCAAACAAGAAACACTCATATTGTTAAATGAAGTGTATATATTATTAAATCGTACAGAGCTGAAAATACATAAGATTGAAAAACACGAACAGAGAGTTTCTATCTTTCTTGACGTCAGATCAGAGAGTACCTTTTTTTTCCTTGACCACTGGAAGAGCACTACCTACACAGTGTATGCATGCTGCCGCCACCAGCCGTAAAGACAGTGACAATAGTCGGGCCATAAAGCGCGAAATTTAAACTGAACACATATTATGTTAGGAAGTTGGTGGGCGAAACGCTAATTTTGTGTTCTTTTAAAGATTGAATTTAATTTTAAGGTTTTAAAATAATCACTTTACAGATATCACATGTATACAAAAACTTTCTGTGCATTTTCTCGTCAACAAAGTTTTTTCAAGTCGCATATTTTAATTTACAACTTTTGCATACATTTAAATCATGCTAAAACAAGGTTTCTACGTCAATTATTACTTTTTTTTTAATAATGTTGTAAAATAAATAAATGCACCCTAGTTCCATTTCATTATTTATTTTTAAGAATAGAATTATAAATTTAAAGTTATAACAGTAAGAAATAGAATTATGTTACATCAAGGCTGCGCTCGACGCACTTTTTATTTCTTTTTTTTTTCTCTTTTCCAGTCCACGTTTTCATATCAACCTAAACACTATATACATACACAAATGCCAAGCACTGGAGCTAGTGCCTTGCAACACACGTGTAAGGAAACACCGATTAAGATTCTACGTATACCCACTGCAGGGTTTTTACATATCCTGCTTCCCTAATCTCTACCTCTCTCGTTCTTTTCCCGTAATGATCCTTCTTTTTACCAAGTATACGAATCTTTCACGCGGGCCCCTTACAAAGGGTGTAATAAATAATGCAATAGAATCATAATGACCCATGATTAAAATCCACACCTGGGGGAAATAGAGAAGATGATACTGAAAAAAAATTCAGATAGGGAAGCGGCTCAACAATTTGTGTACGGCCTCAGGGCACCATGGAGTCAGAATGTAGCTGGACTTAAGCCGGCAACGATTGAGGAAGCTATAGAAGCCGCTACAAGCGTAGACAACGAAATGGGCTTGCTTAACACGGGACAAGGACCGTACAACACCTATGTAACACATGAAAGTTATCACAGAGATAAAAGGTATTCAAAAATAGGTGCATTAGAAATCCATAACACACCAATGGAAAGCACAGATACAGAGTACGTAGTGAGTGGGTTTGACGAAGATGATAAATGGTGTTCATATTGTAGAGGACACTATCGATAAACCACCCGACGTACCGTGCGAAGAATCTACCGTAGGGGAGAACAAGAGCGGAACTGCGTATAAACACTCATTTTATGTTACGCGGGAAAAATGGTCTCAACTTCAATGGTAATAATAATTATCAACACCAACAAAAATCTGAGGGTGGTAATTACGGGCGCCCCAATAACAATAATTATAATAATAACAATAACTTTTATAATAGTAACTATAATAGCTACAATAATTACCACCCGTACATCAGCCAACGGCCACAAAATGGTTATGCAGGTAATTATAATAGGCCAAATGGAGTGAGACAAAATTTTAATGATAGAAACAGATACAACTATAGAAATGGAGGTAATGGGTATAGAGGACACTATCAATATTAAACGGGTTATAATAATCAGGGCCAATAACGAGAAAACGAGGCCACCACGAATTTCAGGAAGGAGTCGCAAGACGCAAGAATAAACGCGGGGAATTTCAACTCCAACAATGATCGATGCGGTCCCCAAACATCGAGCATTCAGCAATAAGCAATAAGGTAATAAACGCGCTCAGTGGTGAAGGGGATGCCTTACTGCAGGCACACATGCAGAAAACGAAACGCTCGAAGGTGCATGTACATGGTAGGTAGAGACAGAGGAGCTCAATAATATTACACCGAGCTTAGCACAGCCCACAAGAAAAGTTATTAGTGAGTCGTGTGAAGTCAATGTTTAGGTAAGAGAACCACTGACTACGAGCGCGTACGTCGATAGGATGACGAGCAAAAATAATTCGCTTTAAAATAGCCCACGAACGGAAGAGAAAGAACAAGGAGAAAGCAGATACGAAATCTCTTGTAGAACCATAAATATAATTAGAGCAGGTAAGATCCCCCCTTAATATATATCAAAGCTCTCGGCTACGAAATGGTAAAGTAAAATTTTACGCCGATACAGGCACCTGCGCCGATACAGCAGCAGAGAAATCTATCGAAAAAAAAAATATCCTTTGTCCAGATACTTTCGTTGACAAAGGGACCCAAGTTAAAATTATCAGGGTTACGCACGGCGAGTGAAG